ACACAAGCCTAATCCCTTGTTCTTCCACACCTTCTGCATGAACTGCATGAGACTTGAGAGCAACTAGGTTATTTGCACTAGGAAGCTCACTTCTGAAATATGCGTCATTTCATAAATTCAAGATATATCAGTGTTTCTTTAATCACAAAAAGACTCAAATATCCTTTCTGTTTATCTTTTGCACATCCCTAAAATATGCCAACAACTTAAAGAATGACAGAAAACATTCCAAATTGTATCATGCATTAGATTACAACGTTCTATGGTTTTTGTTTATTGCCTATGTTTATTTTTATTTAGAAAATCATTTACTTGCTGTATTTAAGTCAAACTGAGCATTAATTTATCTTTTCTATTTCTAGCATAGGAGCTACTTTAATGGCATCTGGTGAACGTGTAATTAGAAGGCTGAACTGTCTTCTCTATTAAAATAAGGCACAAAAAATATTTTGTATTACAGACAAACATGCTTCATTTTTACTAATATTTACAGTTGGTAATACCACATCGATAGCCCAATTCAACTCTAGTGCTTCACACTTGACCTAGTCAGCCACTACTGGAAGCAGCAGGATACCCAAGAACCTCAGGACCGACAAGACAGACAACGCTTATATATTATCATTGGTTTCTGTGCTCTAGCAGCATAACCAGTACTCCGTATGCAGCAAATAGTAAGTATCTAGGATAAAAACTGAGACATAATTAAAGCTTTACTGGCATATTATGGACAGACAAACAACAAAAAGGCTTGCCAAAGCATTTTGGAAAATTTCGTTCCTTCAGTTAGAGCAGCACCACACTTCGTGCAAGCTGAGCATGCTCCTGCACGTGTAGTACCATGACAGGAATTACATAAGGTGTCAGAGGTGTCCCAGTATAAAATCAAGGCTTGGCCTCAGTTTCTACTTCATGCTAGAACTGTAACACAGCAGTATGGCTCCAATTACTGATTGCTTCACCAGGTTTTTATTTATTTTCCTGGTCTTTTCTCACATTGTGAGATTTCACAAAGCTACAATCACCATATTTACAGAACTGTATAATGCTAAGAAAAAAACCTCACAGGAAAAAAAATATGGCACTCTTCAAGGAAAGCAAGAATACATTTCAACCAGACATGATGGAAAATCAGACTTTTAACACACAGACTATATAATTAATAGCTAACAAATTAATAATGAGGAACTTTTTCCTGCTCACCCCATTTCCACTCACTTTTAGCAAAAGCGCGTGGCAATAAACGCTCAGATTGCAGTCAGCAAAAGCTAAATGGAAAATTAATTGGGCTGAAAACCAGCAAGTTTTCAGTGCTCAATGCACATCCTCAGCCCTTAAGAGTTCATTGTAGAAAACTTTTCTGTGTTTGAGTGGAAAGTAAGTCATCCTTTTGTAAAAAAAAAAAAAAACAAAAACAAAAAACAACCAACAACAAACAAAAATTTTGGTGGCTGGATCTAAATCATGTGCAACTTAAAAAAACATGGAAGTTTTACCTGTTTAAGAGAGGTGTGGTCGAAAATAATCACTCCCATTTGCCTCAAGAGAATGTGTATTAAATTCTGTCATAGTGCAGTCTGACTAGTATTAATGACTGAATCCTTCTTTAATTTACAGCATTTGGGGGACTTTGCCAATACACCAACACTAGGAAGGGATAAATTATCTCTGCAGAGCTGTAAGAGACACGGTAAGGTAGGGATTTGCCCTAAAGGAGAAGGTTGCAGTTCGATAGTAGGAGTCCTTCTTGTATTATTCCATGAAGTCTATTTGTAATAGTGCAATATTTGTAAACTAAACCCTAGGGGCTATCACTATTAAAGTGATGGCTGACTGTCAGCTGTTCCAGCAGGGAAGCTTTATATACACTTGTGGGTAAAACTTGTATTGTTCTTGGTCATGACAAAAACATTTTGTTTCACCTCCCAATGATTGTTCTAGAGATACCACACTGTAGAAAAGAACAGCATTATTGTTGGTCCTGTAAAAAAACCTGGATGACCTGTTTCTGAGTACTGTTTCTAGTTGAAACAAGGCAGTACAGTGAGACTCAAATTTCTGCTGGAAACTGAATTACTAGAATTCACGTTCCTTTAAGACTACTATTACATGGCTGCACTACATTGGTAGCAAAGAAGAAAGTCGCTGTTTCTCTTTGTTCTACAGGTAAGAGAAAGAAGAAAACTATTCTTAATCTCAAGGATGATTCTTCTCACAGTGCTCTTAATGCCCTGGGTCTGATGGATACTGGGAAGTTCCTATGAGCCCCAGAGCAAATTTCACTACTGGAAAGCTGTCTATTGTTGATGATATAATGATAAAATGTAACCAGAAATAGGAAACATTAGAAGACCATGAACTTTCTGAAATGCAATTGTATGTTTTTCAAGTAAATTTCAAGTAGCAGATTTTCATCTGTCTTCCCCAGCCTTTTTTGCTGAGTCAATGAAAGAGCGAAATCAACCCACTGTAAACACAAATACAAAAATACCTTTGTTTTGTTTGGCACTTGTTTCACTTACAGGTGCCTGCAAGCAAGGAATTTTTCAGGACACAGAACCACTTGCTTTTTGATGTAATCCATTTCTCCACTCTTACATTAAGCCCCTCGTAACACTGCTCTTAGACTGTTCAGCTTTTGCTAGTGACATCTTCATTGCATGGTTGCCAAATAAGCAAAAAAATAGGAAGATTGAGCATCCATATTTCAATTATTACTTTTTTTAGACAGCCCTTAGATCAGTTGGTAAATACTGTATTTGTTTTATTATAAACCCCCTATGAAGCATTCATGTACAAATAGCACTTTTTTTTATTTATAATGTGCCACTACTCCTACTAAATGTGCTGAGACTAAGAAATAAGAATGAAGTGGGTTTTTTTACCCTCCAGGTCTGTAATCCCGAATGCATGTAAATTCTGAAGAAATACTTCAGTAGGATATTTTATTAACCTCTGGGAACAGTAGGTAGAGAGGAATAGTACACAGATGCTGTCTTCAGCATCATTTGACTAATACTGCATCATTTACTGGATTCCATCACAACAGAGAATCCGGGAAGAAGACAGTAAAAGAACTTTAAAAAAAGCCCGGCTGAAAATAACCTATTCTGTGGTTAAGAAACCAGCCAGTTGGAATTGAAGCAGTGTTTTCTTAGGGTGGCAGAACAGTCGGAAAAGTTGTTGGATTATTTTTGGCAGTGGCCAGCATATTATAGCTCTATCATTACTATTACTAAACTGTCAAGAGTCCACTGAAAGGGTTATTACTTTACTAGTACATTCTTGCAAAAATATAGCATATTCAGTCTGGTAGCATGAAGCTTTGGGTTTCAGAATTTTGTTTGACCTGACACATTCGTATCACTGCAACTGGCTTAGCTCCTAAACTCTTCAACTACACAGGTACAGTAAAACATAAGCAATGATCTACAGACAGCAGCAAATCCAGAGGGTCCAAATCAGTGTGGAAGTGTTGCATAACGTAATACAATGAGCACCTAACAGGTTGGCTCCTGTGCCCTGCACTGCTTGAAAATAGGCTTGGAAGATTGCAGTTAGATTTTTAAAAATTATGTAGCTTGTATTTAGATCTTGGTAAGAGCCAAACTCAGTGGCCACAGTTACTGGCAGTCAGCTCTCCTGGGGACAGAAACGGTGCAGGTGTGAAATTAATCCAGTTTGTGCTTTGGCATTAGCAGCATGTTCTTATCAAATGCACTTGAATCTGCACATTGAATCCAGCAGTAACTTTTGCAGTACAAAAGGACCTTATACAACCCTTATTTACCTTATTAAATAGAACAAATAAGCTATCTAAATATTTAAGATTAATACAATACTATTTCTATCACTTTCAATAGCACCCATGAGTTTACAATCAGAAGTGTACTCTGCTGAGAAGGTGTAAGCATGCTAGATTTAACTGGTGAAGAAGATAATGGTTCTCCTTTGATTTGGGGTCCATATGACCATTTACAGTGTAGTAATTAAGACTGGAGTTATTTCTGCCTTTACAGTAGTCAGAAGACAAGCATTTAAGCATGTGTCTTCATGTGTTCACAAGTTTTGAATCTTCCTTTCTTCTCAAATATCAGACACAATCAGGTAATTCTCTGTCAACAAATGGCAATCTGTGTTTCTCCTTCTGATTATTTACTGAATTGACCAAAAGATTTCCCTGCTGTTGTAGCTGTTGCTTTCAGTCCACTGCTTTCCTCTTCTTCACTAGGCTTCAGCAGCTACCCTTATCTTATGGCCGATTTCTCCTAAAACTGGGAGGAGGTTTACAGTTTATGTTGCCTCAGTGAAAAGAGTATCCCAGCCAAAGAGCTCATTTGAACCCACTTTGAATCACATACCAAAAAAGCCCCCAAAGTTTAAGGCCTCTGTCCTGTGAAGACTCTTCAGATTCTCTCCTAATCCAGAAAGACTCAAATATGTCTCTGGCCCTCACCTGATTCCTGCTTGAATGCTAGTGAAAAAAGCCAGCCTACTGTCATGGTTTGAGCCTGGTCGGCAGCCAAACACCCCACAGCCACTTGCCCACCCTCCCCCCCCACCTAGGAATGGGGGAGGGAATTGGAGGGGTAAAGGAAGACTCACAGGTTGAGATAGAAACAGTTTAATAATGGTAATAAAATTATAACAATGACAGTAAAAGAAAATATAAACGAGCAACGCACAATGCAATTGCTGACCACCCGCTGACCAATATCCAGCCCATTCCCGGACAGCGACCCTGAGATACCAAGATCCCACAAATGCAATCCTGGAAGCAAGAGAGAGTCCCTTCCCAACCACCCCCTACTCTATATAGTGAGCATGGTGTTGCATCGTATGGAATATTTCATTGGCCAATTTGGGTCTGGTGCTCTGGCTGTGCTTCCTCCCTGCTTCTTGTGCACTTGTGCACAGGCAGGACATGGGGAGTTGGAGAGTCTGTGAAATCTCAGCAGCAGCTGAAAACATCAATGTGCTATCAGCATTCTTCTCATACCAAACCCAATGCTGAATACAAAGCACAGCACTATTCTAGTTACCAAAAAGAAACGTGAACTCTATTCCAGCCCAAAGCAGGACACCCACCTAGAACAGAAAGAGGGTAACTCATTGTCTTTTTACATCACCAGTGCTAGTTCGCCAAACAGCTTGATTAGAAGATTGCATCAGGTAAGGACGCACTTGGTTCACCCCCTAAAATGTCATCCCAAGCTTGTCTCTGAGTTTCATTTCGTACAGCATACTGATTTCCTGGGGTTTTTTTCTTAAAATTGCAGCTATCCAGCACTGAGGCTGACCAATTTACTAGCTTTTAGCACACAGTGACATTTTGCTCTGGCAGTATAAAAGCCTTAGAATTATTTTTTTTTTTCCTTTTTTCTTTTTCCATGTGTGAATGAAAGATCTCATGCATCATCTCTTCACTGAAACAGATCCTCAGCAGTCTCTCTTACGAAATTGCTCAATTGGAACTCATGTTCCAAACAATCAGCAGAGTCCAGTCACTCTCACTGGACAACCCGGGAGATGTTGTCACTCGAGTCTGCTGAGATGCACACTTCTTTTTCCTCCAACCACTTTCACTAAACATTACACTACTACAAAACAGCTCAGCCAACTCTGTAACTGCATGTCTTCATACTTAGCCCAAACAGTGATGGGGAAGGCTAGAACTAATCTATAGGTAGCTGGTATTTCATATGGAATATTACAATCACCGACAATGTTACTGTACGTGTTGACAAAAACTCAAAGGACAAACAAAAGTTACTTTCCACTGGCTGTTCAGAATGAGTGGTAGTATGCACACTGACGACCCTCCTTCAGGATCTCTACAGGAATTCCAGAGCTTGGGGCATCATAAGAAAAGACAGCACAGGGCATGAACTGCATAACTAAGATGTGTGCACAGATTTGTGGATAGGGCATAGATAGGTTCATGCCCTACAAATGTCAGGTACTACAAACGTCTCTCATTTTGTGTATTGACAATAGGACTGCACCATTTTGATGTACTGGGTCAGAAGAAGGACCCAGGGCTGGTGATAGTGCTGTTTAGATGAACATGGACAACCAAGCAGAGTAGCCGCCAAGTTTTACATCGGCTACACTTGCTGGCATACAACTTGTAGTGCCTCTCCTTGTAACCAGACTTGCTTCCCAGACAAAGATGAGGGGGGGTCTGAGCCCTCATTTATCTATCACTACTGTGCAAACTTTGCTCAGACAGTGACATCAGCAAGTATTGCTTCACTATGCTGCACCACTCCTGGTTTTGGTGAGCCTGGAAGAGAGGGATTGGGAGCAGTGGATTGTTAACCACAGTCAGGAAAAGGTGCTGAATAAAGGTAGCTCTGTATTACAAATGTGCTGCTCTCAGAAGTTGAGAACTGCACTTTAGACAACCTTTATACTGTAACAGAGAAAAAGGCACAGTTCAGAGAGCCAAACAAATGGATTTGTCCCTGTATGCCTGCTATTAAGTGGGGAATGGTACTGAAAACGCTTATTTGCTGGCTAATTATTGAAACAAATACTTCTACTTCTAGTGGAACTCAGAATAAGCAACTCCCAGACTCAGCTCCGCAGTCAAACTGGCCCGATGGCATGCTGCAGCCAACCCCAGCTCAGTGTCTGGATGAAATAAAGACCTTGCTGCGGGAGCAGTTTTTTGTGCAGTATCCTCAGAGGTAAGCACAACACACACACTCTTCTCAGAGCAGACTGAAATCATCTGTTATGAGTATCACACAGTAGCCTGAACAGCTGTACCAGAAGAAGTGTTTAAATGACACTTGACCAACATAAAAGTGGGGAAGAAAATCATCACCTTGAACTTAAAAAAATTATTGATCTGTCTTCTAAAGAATGAAGACGAGGGCAATTCGTATTTAATAATCTTATTTTTGGAAAAGCTTAGTTCTTTGACTTATTAAACAAGTTGCTTCACTGATACCCACTAGCTAGCTATTGCCTGGCTAAAATTGGAATTTCCACTTACTCCATCTTCTTTTATTCAGTCTCGAGACATCATAGCTTTTGTGGGGAATGTTTACTTACAACGAGGGACAGTCCACTTCAAGTCACAGTTCTCATTAACATCCCCTGTTTTAGTATAGTTTTTGTATTTTTGGCATTGAAATGCCTGTGATAACCTTTGTGGCCGATGTTACAGATACCCGTGTACTACCAGCACTAAAATCGGCAGCTGTGCATCTTCCTGGAAGTTCAGATGGCTGCACTTGGCATGCACTGTGAACACTACTATAAAGCACGATGAAAGCGTCTAGTAACTAAGTATGTGACAAAGTTTAGAAATAATCCCCCAAAATAGCCTGTAAAATATCTGTACATGTCAGCAAAAAAAAGTCCACAATCCACAATCTGAGGCATACCTATTCTTTCAATGTTGACTTTTTTTGCTTCTGTTGTCATCAAGCCTAATTAACTTTTTTAACCTGTCAGTTTCTATTATCCACTAATTTAATAATTGATTAAAAGATTAAATTTTGAATCTTATTACCAGGGATCCCAAATATATTTTGTCTGGTTTTGGGCCACACTCCCCATAGAATGTTTTACCACAAGGAGAGGAAACACAAGGCAAGTTTCAAAAAAAAGCAAGTAGGCAAGATCTTTCTGATTTGGTGTTAATGGCCTTAAAGCAATAATCTTAGCATATGCAACATAAGAAACTCAGAGGAAGGAGATAAATGTAGCTGCATTTTAAAGCAGTGAATCTTGTATAGCACAAAACCAGAAACAGCTCTTTGCTAACATTGCAACGTCTCTTTCCTATAGAAGGAAATAATAAAAAAAGGGTTTAAGTATAAACACAATAGGTTGAGGCTATTGGCATGTCTAAATTGTGCCTGGATTTTGTTCAGCAAACCTTTTCCATTAACATTTCTGTCGGGAAAACTAACTCTTTAGAGATGTAATGAACCATCTGATTTTAATTTGGTTGTAGAACAAGGGGTTATTCTCTGAATCGTGCAGAGCCAAGCTATTGAGCTACACCCAGCTCTATTTCCTTATACAGATGATGATGACTGCTCAAACACGAGCAGCATGTGGGAAAGCTGCAGCCCTCAGCCTTGTTTTAAGCAAATTAAAGTAGCCTGGGAACAGTAAGGATTTTCTCCGAGAGAGATTTGACTCTCTTCATCATCATTTTGTCCCCAGTTCTTCCAGCCCAACTGTTGCACAGACATCTGCTAATGTGGCTTTTGGCCCGTCTTTTTCCTCCCCTTGATGCAGGGACTGTAGCATCTTCACCTTCTTCAGTCACTGCCTTCACTTGGAATCTCCTGCTGATTTCTTACATGCTTTCCCCAGACCTGCAAAAACACTGCCATTTATTTAAATTCAGCTCTTGTCCAAGATAAGACAATCCACACGAGATCCTATGGGACATCTTACAGTTCTACATTTTCTACAAGACTCTGCTCTAGCAAAGCTAAAGCCCTGGTTTTGTGCTTTAGTGCTGCTTATGATTCTACTCTGAGAAAGCTGAACAGAGAGAGAGAGGGGGAACTTCAACAGTAATTGACCCACACCCAGAAAAAACATTAAGACACGCTGGGAAATCACAGTGGAACTGCAGAGCCTGATTCCTCTTCTACAAAACCCTGTTTGTCCAGTCTATGTGCGGCTGCCTGCCTGCTGGCCGGACACGGCGTAATTCAGGGCCAGCTGGGACACGTCAGGCAAAACAAGGCAAAGAGACAGGGGAGGAGCCTCACTTGGTAGGGTTTTTTTCTGTTTATACCCCATCTCTGCTTATTAAGTCTTCACAGAGGAAATTCAATGTCTGCCCTTAACTGCAATTTCAGATAATTTTTTAATGTCTCTTATTCCCAGGATGCCTGCTGCTGGTTTGTTAACCCAACAGGTGGATGAATTAGTCAACACATGGTAGTTACCTAACAAGGTATTACTGATGCTGGTCTCCTAGCAGAGAGTTGTTATTAGCGAAGTTTTAGACATTTGTCTTATACTATTCCACACTCAAACAGATGTGCATATTCTCCAGATCAAAGGAAGACTGACACTTGGATCTGCTATGCAGTCCCATTTGTGGACCTTCTTGCTTATGGCCCTCTGAAAAAAGGAAGGTGTTTCCCTGGACATAATCTCCAGTACTGTGGCCACAACAGTTGTAGCTATGCTATACGCAAGATGCCAACCCAGAAGTAGCCCGTCACCCATGGTGCTTCTATGTAATATCCGTATTTGTCCAAATGAACAGCTTGAACATGGAAAAATCCCACCTGCCACCGTGACATGCGATGCCCGAGCTCTTCTAGGAAGTAGCCTGGGCTTTATCTGCCCCAAATCAGCCATGTGGTGCATCCTGAAAGGGCAGATGTGATAGATGGAGGGTGCTGAGCCAGCCAGAGTGGTGGGGCCCGTTCACATGGCAGGTAAGCGTGGCTGTTGGATATGTGATAATGGCACGATTCACTGGGGCTCCCCTCCTTCCACAGGTACCAGCTTGGTGGTCCCCACCCTAGCTCTAAGGACACCTCTGCAGACAAATTAACTGAACAGACAGCTGGTTTAGACAAGAGACTGCCTTTACTCTCACTACTCTGCAGGGTATTTGCAGACATGAGACCAACCCTGGCCAAAAAAGTTGCTGCAAAAATTACTGGAGATTTCACTCCTGGGAACATGCTGTTGCCATATGGTCTCCACATTAATAGCACCATACAAGTGCTTCATAAACAGTGTTCTAATAACAAATACCAGAGGAGTTAATAATAATCTAGCTATTATTTTCTAATGTTCTTGCTTTATTAAGAACACTTATGCTGTCTGAATGAGGTCTTCCGGAAGAACATCTGGCACTCACATGAATACCTGATGAAATCTTTATGATCCTGGGTATTTTATGAATTTGCCGGCAACAGCATCCATTTGTGCCAGCATGGCTTACAGTAACATTACGTTTTTCTTTTGTTCTAGGTGCATAGCGTAATGTCCATGCTGTACTACACTCTGATTATAGCTTTTTTGATCGGCACACAGGCAGCTCCAAAATCAGAGGACAATGCTCCACTGGATTATCCTGCAGAACTCTCCCTGCTCAATACCCACCGGAATAACAGACACCACATTCCCAAGGCAGCTCCACAGACATCCCACGGCCACTCTACTTGGACAATAGGTAGAAGAGAAGCTATAAATATCACCGTGGACCCAAAATTTCTTAACAAGAGGCGTTTCCGGTCTCCTCGGGTGCTGTTCAGCACACAGCCTCCCCCAGTGTCAGGCGAAGGACAGACTACGGGATTTCGCGGCAGTGCAGGTTCTCTCAACAGGACTGCCAGGACCAAGAGGACCGCGCACCCTGTACTACACCGGGGAGAGTTCTCAGTGTGTGACAGTGTCAGCATGTGGGTTGGGGACAAAACCACAGCCACTGACATTAAAGGCAAAGAGGTGACAGTGTTGGGAGAGGTCAACATTAACAACAACATTTTTAAGCAGTATTTTTTTGAGACCAAGTGCAGGGACCCTAAGCCAGTCTCCAGTGGGTGCCGAGGGATCGATGCAAAGCACTGGAACTCTTACTGCACCACAACACACACCTTTGTCAAAGCGCTGACAATGGAGGGCAAGCAAGCAGCCTGGCGGTTTATTCGAATTGACACAGCTTGCGTGTGTGTGCTCAGCAGGAAGTCAGGGAAACCCTGAGATGGATCTAAACCCCATGACAACGTCCTCCTACCCCCTACCTCAGTCTGTAAATTATTTTAAGTTATAAAGGACTGCATGGTATATTTATAGTTTATACAGTACAGAAAGAACCTCATTATTTATTAAACTCTTTTGGAAACCTTTTGTGTTTTGCAATTTATTTACTGGCAGAACCCTTCAACAAATTTTCACCTTAGTCTCACTCAGCCCTACAACTCTGAAATGTTCACAGGGCCACTGAACAATCTTTGCTCGCCATTCTATAAAAAGAAAACATTTTTAACAGTTTTCACACATATTCCTCTTTCCCACAACAAAAGAATTTTCCTCACAAAACCTACCAGTTTACTGTAAAAATCTTGTAGGTTAATTTTAAATCTAAATGTTTTGTCCAACTACCAAGAGACTGAAAAAGACCCTTCTAAACTTGCTTCCAGTTTTATTAATGATCCATAAAGATATTAATCTTATATAATTAAATTATCTTAGTGAACTCATGGCAGAAATACTAATTCTTCATGTTGCTAGATACATATCTGAGACAGACCTTTAGTGCAGTTTTTAGATTGCCAAATTATTTTCACTGCAGAAATAATCCATTCTGAATTATTTTGGAACATTTGTCTGCACAAGACTAGAATCTAGACGTATATATTATTGCATTAAAATGGTATTTTACAGCTCATTACTTACGAGCTATATTAGAGCGATGGGGTTGCAAATGTCAATATACATATATAAATTTTTAAAAGTTAACGTGGCTTATAATTAAAATTTGAAAATTCTCTCAAGCTACTAGCTTGGCAATGGGGACTTAACATAGGATCAATTTTTTTCATGCATGATAGAATTAAAAAAAAAAAAAAAAATCACCAAGGCTGTGTTTTAGCAAGGAGCCCCAAAATAACCCTATGCTCGTAATTTCTGTGCTTTGGGCAACACTGATCTCTAGAAGTACATGGTGGAAACTGAGGCCTGTGATGTGCATTTCAGTCACTGCACACTGAATAAAGCTGCAGTTTCTCTCATTGTTTCCTTTGGAAGAGCAGCTGTTATTCATTGCAGAAACTCTTTCAAAACAAATACCATTAAGATTTTTCAGCTTGGTTTCTTCCAAATCCTAGAGGGCACACTTTCACCCTTGTCTTGCCCCAAGCACAGTTATTTCTTCAGCAAAAAAAACAGACCTGACATTTGCTTCCTCCACATAAGCAGCAAAGGGCAGCAGATCTCTAGAGAAAATGTGTTGTGGTAAACTAGTGCCGGTAGAAATAATCAAACCTAGACAAGATGTGCTTTCTGGTACGATAGTGCTGGTCTATGTGAAGGGGAAGGCACTGAGACAGAGACCATTCCTGATAATCACTGGTATGCCACTTTTCGGCCCCCCTCTACTAGGTAGTTATGGTGTGGGACAGCAAAATTCCAGTGAGAATGTTTTGCTCTCTCCAGAACAACATATTTGCAATATTTGCATGAATAGTCAGTTATCTGAAAGGTCAAAGAGAGGGCAGGCTCCTGACTGTCCTGTGTCCTCCAAATAATGACGACTTGTTCAGGAGCAGGGGGAGGCAATGAAGACTAAGGAATACTTATAGTGCAATCATGTAGGCATCAGATTCTCTGGCACAGTAGCAGAACACACCAGCAGCAGCAGTCACCTGCCAGTCATCACAGGAGAGATGGAAGGAGATCCGTGAAACAAACAGTATTCTGAAGCAAAGCAAAACACAGAATTGGAGCAGAATCCCGCCTGTGTTCTTTGGTGGCCTTAAAGCAATGGATAAAAGTAACAAATCTGCATTAGAAGTGCTCTTTACCATATATGACACAATGCAACTAGGGAAAGAAGAAGCTGCTACTCATCCAGGACTTCCAGGTTTATGGAGACTGCCATTATTTTTACCACTGACATAACAGAACTGCAATTGAAAGTATCTCATGAATGCATTTGGTAATTCCAAACATGTGTAAGACTTGGCATTTCTTCAAAGAGCCCTGAAACTGATTACTTTCTTCCTAAAGCAATCTTGGGAGCTGGCATTCCTTCCACATCCAGCCCACTTATGAGTTCCTCTGACTACACCTTAAAGCACATTCTTGCTAAGAACAGGGTACTACAACCTATAACACACATCTGAGGGACAAAGAGCTGGCATTAAAAGCTCTATAAACTATTGTTACAAATCTGGACCTTGATTACAATTTCAATTAATAAATATTTAGCTATTCATTTGGGGGGGAGGGTTTATTTAGTCCTGCAGATACTGATGCGATCTAGTCCACATTTATCCCTTCAGCTGATTTTTATATTGTGCTCCCATGGCTGAAACTAGACTACTGGTTCATCCTTCATCACAGTGATCCACTATATTACTGGTATTTCTTGCTAGTTCATAAAAAGGTCTCAAAAGGGAGGGTGGAAGAGTAAAAAGGACAGGTCAGTGCATTCACACTTGATCTTGATCCCACTGTTAATTGCAGAAGCTGGAATTCCAAACTTAGGAGCTAAAAATTCAAGCCTGTAACTGAAATTTTCAGGGCGTACATCATTTCTCTCCCTGTACATATGTTACTGTTATGCTTGTGTGACACACTGATGTGACTGGTGATCTACTGAGTAGTGGTGAAGTATTTAAAGAAATTAATGAGAATGTGGGGCTTTATGACTATGAAATAAGAAAAAACCTGGAAAAGTGCACTCTTAAGAGAATTATTGCTATATTTCCATTTTTGTATTAACTGTGCTCTTAAGATGACAAGATAAGGCACCACCTCTGAACACAGCTACATAAACACAATCTGTGAGATTCCTCCTGCAGCACTCAAACTTCATTCCACTTACAGATGTTTGTGCCACATGCAAAGACTAGGATTTAAACAACAGGAGTCCTAGCCATTCTTGCAGTAACTGGCATCATGCTTCCCTGTTACCTCCAGCAACAAAGCTCAAGCACAGAGTTTCATGCAATCTGAAGAAGTTAGTATCATACAATAAGGATACCCTGAGCAGCCAGAAATTAAGTACAGGTCTGGATGCCTGGAGATACAAGGAACTGTCATCTCTGGACATGCCACAGAACAGATGAGACAAGTATCTGCCAGAAGTGCTTCTGCCTTGAGTGAGGTGCAAGGACTACATAACTTTCAGTGACATTTGCCACAATTTTGCATGTTTCCAGACAACAGTTAAACTATAACTCTTTTTGTTTAAGTCATGCTCACAGTTGTCACTCATCTACAAAAAGGTGGAGAAAGAACTTTTGAACATTTTTCGTTATGTATATGGACCCTTTTAAACATGGCCCCATATATTTGTAATTTCAATACATGGATGAAAGAATACAAAATTCACGCAGTGATTCCTGTGTAGAAACTCACAAATGCTACTGGTATACAGCACAGCAAGCTGTGTTAATAAAATCAGAAACAGAACAAAACCTGTAAGAGCATTTTTCGATACTGTTATTGATAGTTCTTTATCATACCTAGGCGTTTTTCTTTTTTTTTTTTTTCCCCTCCAATCAAGCATGTGCTAGTCTGCCATTTTATTGTCTGCAACTCACATTATGATCAATGTACAGAATCCTGTATTGATGCAGTTAGGTACATAGAGACTTGACTGCCTTGCTCAAATGCTTGCCTTTTTCTTTTGATAGACATTCCTGCCTAATGTCAGTGTTTATGTTTACTCATGGAGAAACTATGCTTTCAACAGTGCCCTCTCTCAGTGGCTCAGAGTTACTGACAAGATGGCAGTAGGTGACAAACTCATCTGCTGGAGAAATCAGACAGATGGCAGTTACAGCAAATTGTATGATTAAGAGGTTATACAGTAAAGCAAAGATGGAAATCTGTTTTCTTATGTGATTTTAAGGAAGGGGAAAACAGTTACAGGATTACTGCTCAGCAGGAACTGCCTGGATTCTGTACAAGATCTCATGTGATCAAAACTATACCACAACTGCAAGAGAAAGGATGAGGGACCAGAAGAGCCAGATGACATCGTAACTCAATTTACACTGCTGAAACACTGTTAAATGCACCCAAAACAGTTTATTTGGTGTTGCTTCCACTGTATCCAAGGAATTACAAGAACATCCATATTTGGATAAGTTACTTTCATTTGTAATAGCTGCAGTTTGAATTCATATGTTGATTCAAGACTGCAGTTCAGCACGGAGAGTTCTGCAATGGAATGGACTTGATAACCTCACTCATATTTGTATAAAGTTACAATAACTGACAAACCTGGGAGGAAGGATTTGTACAAATCAATTTTGTTCAACGTAACTGCTAGCTTCATTTCTCAAGAGTGCCTCTGGTATCCACAGCTTCTCCACTTCCTCTGAAACAAATGGTTGCTGGATTCTCTTCTGACTGTTTAACAAGTCTAACAAGTTTTAATTTATACGAGCTTGACAACTAACTGCTTCTCTAAAAATGAAGTGCCTTCGTTTCTTCTTAAAGCCTTATTTAAGGATTGAAAACAATTATGGCTAAGAAAAAGGAAAGCTACTTCGTATAAAATAGGAACAACCAGAGGGACTGATACAAAACAGATTTATTGGAAGAACTGCATAATCACTGTTACAGGAATCTGAAATTAATCTCTTTAGATTCTGGGTAAAGAAAAATGAGATTCTTATATTTAAAAGGCAAATCAGCCCAGACTTTGTTTCACCTTTAGCCAAATGCCATGTGCATGACACCAGCAACTTCACTACTGCTCATTTGGTCTAAGGAGTGTAGGTTAAATATTGCCTGGAGGTAAACAGATCATTCTCCAGAAAGATGAATAAGATGTGGACCATAATCAGTTTCTATCACTTAACATCCTCTTGTTACTGCTGTTATTACAGTTTTGGTTTGGTGGTGGTTTTTGTTGGGGAGGGGGCGCGGGGGGACAACGATGACACATGCCTGAAACCCTACCGATTACATAATCACGCCTACTGCCAAGTTGATGCTAAAAGCCTGGGATGCCAGAAAACCCATTCTAACGCCTAGACCTGCAAGGTTTTACTTCACTGGGCCTTGCCTTGATTATTTTCACTTCAACTGCAATACAGACAGGAAATTTTGACAGAGAAGGAGGCAGGTTACATAACAGTCGTACTTTCTCTATATGCTTCC